CTTTTCTTCAATCTCCTTCTCTCTGTTATCTCTATCACCACACGCAAACCTCTGTACTGTAATAGCCGTTTGTTTAGGTTTTGTGGGTTTTTTTTTCTCTTGTTTATTTCGTGTGAAATTGGGGCTTTTTGTTTCGAACCTTTGCTGAGATATTTCTGATTGTGGAAATTTTGGTCTTCTAACTTTGTCGACGTGAAAGCGAGGAATGATTTCAATCGGTGGTTTATAAGTTATGCTTTCAAACAATCAAACCTATGGATAAGAATTTGACTCAATTTTTTATGCATTTCTTTCGCTTGTGTGTATTTTGGCCTGGTCGAGCTGAGTTTGAGCAAGAATGGTTTTTTCAATCCTGTATTGAATCATGAAAAGCTGACTTTTTATTATAGCTGTGGAAGATGAGTTGATGATTTAAGTGCTGCTTTTTTCAGACTTTAGCATATGCATTGTTAACTGAACTCGTCATTTTGGTAAACTTGGTTTTGATTCTAAAACAGGGAAACACTTTTTGAATGTATGCATATTTTGTGTTTGGTCGCACACTTGTACTAATAATATGCTAAGGTGCAGCTTGTTCTGCTTTGTTCTTTTCAACTATTATGTGAGCTCGATAAATTATAGTTCATTATTTGTTGCTTTAGTATATAACTAATTTTACGTCATTAGAGATGTCCTGTATTATCATCTGCAAATGCTTTAAAACTTTACTATGCAGCCGTAGTTGGTTTTAATGGGATCCACATTGTGGGAAATGTATAATCTCTAATACCAAGTAAAAACGGTTAACTTATTGAGGCCTGTTTATGAAGGGTTTCATTGAGAGTTTAAGTGACGCGGCGCCCCTTTTGTTTGGTAATTTGGTGTCCCTTTCTCTATTGAAGTGCTGCTTACTTCGAACTTTTACATGTCGAATTGCATATGGTGTTCTGCTCTGTTAGTACCCTTTTGTATAGTGTTAATACCCTTTTATATAGTGTTTAGGGTTTATATAGTGTGTGGTCTTGCATATGGGATTCTGCCCTTTTATATGGTGCGTGGTCTTGTTTATTTTTCCTTTGTTTCTTTCTTGTATTGTGAAATTGGTCTTGTTTTCATGAGGTTCTTCCTGACATATGGTTGTATTTTTGTTGGACACCCCAGGAAGTTGGAAGAGCAGAAGCCCAAGGAACATAGGCCAAAGGCCAGTGAGAACAAGCCCGTAATGAATGAGTGAAATAACCTTGGCATGATAAGCAATGGATCGGTTTAGAAGTCTAGGCTCTTAATATGATCAGTATTTTGTTTAAGACAAGCTTTTTGCTCTGTCATGGCATATCTGTATCTTTTCAAACAATACATTTATAGTTAAAAGTTCTTTTCACCTTCCGAATCATGATTTAGTATGTTTGGAAATTTAGTTCCTTTTGGAATGAAACATCAAGTATTCTCATCCTGCAAATAGCCTTGAGTATGAGGCGTGGTGATTTTGACCAACTGCAATGCTTATAAAGCGAGACCTTTTCATTCCCCGGCATAATTTGCCTTTGATACATGATTGTGTAAAGTACTAAATTAATTATCTGGTAATTGCATCATTACCCGCGTTATCTATAAAAATTACCAAAGTTTTCCACGGGGGTTAGTGTGTTGTGGATTTTCACCAGATTGCAATCAACTAGCACAACTACAACCTAGCTAGTTGGATTGCCTTGGGAGGAGTTCGATTTTCACTCCCATTCGATTGTGCACAATCAAGCTCTTATGCAATTGCCTGGAAGGTTTCCGGGTGTAGTACAACTGAAAAAATTGTGGTTTTCGTTTCAACATTCGAAGAATTTTTTGTTGTTGATACAAACGATAATGGGAGAGAGATTTGAAATCATCACCTCTTCTGTTACAAGTCCTTTGCAAGGAAAAAGAATTTTAGACCTAGAGCTGGTAGGTTTCTTTTTGCCCAACGAAGCAATGAGCAAAATCATCCTAATGTCAACAAACAATCTCGAATTGAAAGAACAGGATTATAAAAATTGAAAGAACAAACAATCTAAAAAAAATCTCAAAACAACTTTAAGACCTAATGAAATTGCTGAAGGTCGTCCTGTATCTTGAGGTTCAAGAAATCTTGATGAATATGGAAGGGGACTTGCTCCGCCAACATCTCCGTTTCAATTGCGGTTGCAGCGTGAGTTTCTTGCCCATTATGGCCAAAAGGCTGAGGCAACACAGCCTCCGGAACATCACAAGCCTCAGGATTCTCAGACAAAAACTGAACAAGCCTAGACACAAAAAGCTGGCGCAGAGCTTCAAATTGATCGGACGGTTCAGACTGACCATCACATTGTACAAGAACAAAAACGTCGTGGAACAGCAAGGTGATGTTCAAGTCTGGTTTCATGCGCCCAGTTTTAATGTCCTGCACATAAACTGCATCTATCTGTATGGCTTCGGGCAGTAAAAATTTTATCTGAGCCAGATGCCTGCAGGTGAACTCTTTTTTATGGCCCATGAATTTCACTAGGGCACAAATACTGCGAAAAGTGGATGGTTTCTTGTGCAGACCAAGCAACCTCAGGTAAAAAATCATGCGACTAAACAAGTCTGCCATCTTCAAGTATTTCTCTGGTGCTACCATCTTCATAAGTACCGCTGAATTCATCTTTAAGGTTTCGGCCTTTACTTGGGAATTAGGGTTGTGTTGTTTGGGGATATGTATTAATTTTTGTGGGAGATATAAAGTTTAGCGTTTTGCCATCCTCGCTTCCCCTTTTTAATTGGTGTGATTATCCAAAAAGAAACTCTTTTTGTTTTTATATTAAAGACAAAAATCACCGACCAAAGCCAACAGAATTTAGTCCAGTGAAAAGGGCGAAACCTAGAAACACTATTGGTCTTGTGACTGAAAATCACACTGATGATAATTTGGTAAATTCGAATAATGCGTAGAGGTCTTCGTCTAAATATTCCAAACCCAACCAGGGGATTAAAAAAAGGACTAGAATTCATTTATCCAAATGACATTATTGAGCATTTATATTTTCTTTCCTAATCTACTTTGCTATAGCATTGTATTATAACCTAATGTACTTTGTTAGTGTTTGGACAAAAAATTGTTAATTACCTATTTATTCAAGGGAAAAGAGGTCGAGAGTCGAACTCTTGTAGATATGTGAATAACTATTCTTGTCACGGAAGCTTAATAATCCCCTATGCTGTATGCCCATAGCTTTAGAGAGATGTCGGAAAATTTACACGTTTTTAGTTCTTTAAATTGTCATATACTTAACCATTATGAGATTTTTGAAAAAGAAAAATCATGATCAAATGAATAACCATCTGCATGTGATAAGTAGTAGTTAATTTCATAATTTGTACTAATAGCACTTGAGTTGTATATGTGCAATCCCACAGGGCTTTGCTTGAAGAGGGTGGGTTGGATACATACCAAAGAAAAAGCTCCCAAAAATATGTTTACTTTCCTCTCTATTTCTGTTAATCTAAACTAGCCTTTAGTTATCAGTCAATCTCTCTTTGTCTTCTCAGTCTGTTGGAGCCGCAGAATCCTCCACAACACCGGCTGAAGCGAAGCTACTGAGATCCTCACGCAGCTTCTCAACCTTTTGCAAAATCTCCCTCAGCTGCATTTGGTTAGGCTCACCCATCACTAAGTCTACCTGATGCATGAGCTCTACATTCCCGCACAGCTTCTCAACCATTTGCAAAAGTAATTTGTGAAACTCAAGCATCTCCAAGTCTGCTTGCTGCTTCTCAAGTTCAACCTTTGCAGTGTCCAGCTCACCGGTTTGCTGTGTGTTCTCCTCTAGCTTGCTGACCATGGTTTGCAAGTTCTCTATCTTGTTGTCAAGCTGAAGGGTGTAAGATTCTTGGTCTTTTACTTGGCTCTGCAAGGGTATAACTTGGTTGCTTTGAGATATATAAGCCCCCAGAGAACTACCATCAATCTCAAAGCGCCGCCTCTGTATACGAGAGTGTCCTGACTCACTTCCCACATTTTCAAAAGCAGGCAAAGCCAGCACTGCATCGGTGAAAACCTTCGCGGATGCCCCTATAGCAGTCGCATTCTGGAAATTATACAGTTGGAATATACACATGTTATTAGTTATAAGACAAAGGAATCTAGAACTCAAGACATATTAATCAAGCATTGAATCTTATGCACTTGAATTTTACAAGACATTTACACACCAGAATATAAACCACATAAAAGTTTTCCTTATTTAAGGTTTCTAAGTCATTGTCATAGAAGTGTTCTCAAAATATAAACAAGAACTCTTGATCTTGAAGTGTTATCATCCTACATCAGATCAGTGCCTCAACATGTTGGTAAAACCTTCACAGAAAACAGAGGTACATCTGATGCAAGTGATAGAATAATATTGACTGTTTGGTAATCCATTCTTACCCTCTCTGGCTGATTTACATCATTTGAACCATTTGACCGCATCCGATGCACACTCTTTGGTTTTGCATGGCTAGAAGTCAGGGCAGTTCTGATGTCACAAAACCTAGGAAGTGATGTTCTTCCTGCAAAGACTTATAATTTGGTGACCATTTTCATTTAAGAATGAACAGATTTAAATCAGATTCTTAGTTACCAAAACATAAAATTCATCTCAAAGCACTGAAAAGTTATAATTGCCCAACTTAAAACTCGTATGAATACGCATGCCAAAAATTCTAAGAGCAGTGCAACAATACAGGTGTATGCAACAAGTTAAGGCAATTAGTCTAAATCACATTTCAACACATTTTTACCAGCGCATAGTCTGAAGTGTGTGTGTCTTCTTAAGCTCACCATTGTTGATTCCAAACTCGATGCAGAGAGCTCACTTGGTGGCCTTTCTGATCTATCTCGTTATTCCTTTGATAAAACAAGGAGATTAATTACACATGTTTATTAGCGCAACAACTCAAATTAATAATACTAATGTCTATTATTATGAGCAGGATAAAGAAAATGTTGTTGGTGCTTACAACAAAAGCTAAAACAGTCCAAAGGGAAACAGAACACAGAGAATACAGTAGGCGCAAGCAAAATTCTTCTTTAAATGACTTGAACATGAATATCTCTCACCTTGGAAAATGGGTTTACTATCTTCGTTCATACAAAAAAGGGATTTGAATTAAACGAACCCAAGAAAAGCACATCGATTGATAAAAATCCTAAATTTCTGACCTTGGAAAGTTCAGTCAACCCCACCGAACGTACCAGCTCTCTTGCAGGGAGCTAAAACAAAATCCAGTACACAAAATCAAGAGAAACACACCAAGCCAACAACAAAGAAGAACCTTCTGTGCCTTAAAGCTAAAAAAATGCAAAATACCCATGAGTCCATGACTGGAAACTCAGTGAACAAGCCATAAATCAGCAGCCCCATTAATAACAAAAGACACAAGAAGCCATTGGGAAGAGAAAGTACTCGTTGTTTTGTACCTGAGCACTCGACGCAGAGAATCAGTGGCAGTTCTTTTAAAACCCTTGAGAAATGCAAATGCAAAGCCAAAGCCAAAGAGATTGAGATTCAAGAGAAGGTGAAAAGAGACTAGATGTGTACTATGTCTCGCATGCATTTACCACATTTTCTTTTTGTTTCCCATTTTGAGTGTGTAGGAGATTGCGGTCAGCACACTCAATACGGTGGCGTTTTAAAATACAAACAAAATAAATAAATAAACCATTAATCATTAATCAAACCCACTAATTTTTTTTTAAATGTTTGATTAATTAAGAGTTCTGATCTACACCGTTTAATCGGTGACGAAATGTGGGAAATGAATATAAGTTCTTCAATATCCACAAACAAGCTTAAAATGTAACTATAAACATGAAAAGTTAAAGATGACATATTTCTGTGTTGAAAGAGGTTACCGTTTGTTAGATAGGCCAAGAAAACAAAAAGTTTGCGAAATATGTATTTTCTTAACCACCCCCTTTCTTCATTCTGCAATGCATCTTCGGATTCCTCTCCATCCATGTCCGTTTGGGTCTTCAGCTTCCTCCGGGGCCATTTAGGGAGACCATTCCATGATCTGGGGGCTTCCTGCCACTAGCAGTCACTTGACTTTCAGTATCAACAAGGTGTCTTCTTCTGTAGATGGTGGAGACTTCTTCTGTGGCTACAAAGGCCGCTGGACATGCCTGGCAGCAGAGAAGACGATTTACATGAACCCTGCTAAACTTATAACGAACGTTGCAGCAATGGCACCTTGTCCAGAAAGTCGAAGGATGCTGGGCAGTGGCGGTTCCAAAATTCAAAAGCCGATCGGGCAAAACTTATATAACAAACTTGACGAAATTAGTGAATTTCATTAATAAATATAAAAAAAATTACATAGTGTGAGGAGACGTAATAAGCATTACCCTCAAATGCATTTATATCTACAAATACAAAAACTAAAATAAAAACCAAAATAGAAAAAATAGAAAGAAAAAAAATATTTCACATTAAAAAGAAAGATAATATAGAGGACTACATTAATTTTAAAAAAAACAAGATTTATTTCGAGAGAAATGGGAAGGAAGAAAATTGGCGGAGCTAGGTTTTTTTTATTTTTTTTATTTTTAAAACGAGTTGTGACCTTATTTCTCTCCTTATTTCCTTTTATAAACGTTTATTATGACATCCGTTTATAGGTTTCCACCTCGAGCTCCATAGCCCTATCAATTATGTTTCGCAATTTCTGAAATAGTTATCTTTGTGCAAGACAATTTTTTTAAAAAATCATAAGTAATGTAGGTAATATTTTTCTAACAAAAAGAGAGAAGAAAAAGGAAGAAATAAGAGAGGGAGAGAGAGAGAGAGAGAGAGAGAGAGAGAGAGAGAGAACAGAAAAAGAGAGAGAAGGGATGAGAGAAGGCGAAGAAAGAAAGAAAAAAAAAGGGAGAGAAGAGATAAGGAAAACAACGGAAAAAAAGAGAGATAGAGAGGAGAGAAGGAAAATAATAAAAAAAGGAGAGAGGAGAGTGTAAGGAAAGGAAAAAAAAAAAAAAAAAGGAGAGATGAGAGAGGAGAGTGTGAGGAAAAGAATAAAAAAAGAGTGGTGTTTTCCCCACTTCAATTTTATCTACTTAGGGGGTGTATTCAATTGAGATTTTAATAGATTGTTTTGAAGCTTAAAAGTCCAGTGGTATCAAATTAGGATTTTTAAGTAATCAATAAAAATATGGTGGTATTCAAATAAGATTTTTAAATAATCAATCCAAGTCTTATGATATTCAATTAGGACTTTTAAAAGATAAGAAAAAGTACGGTGGTATTAAAAAACTTACCGATTTTGAGGTATTTTGTTAAATAGTGTATTGTGTGAGACTTTTGAGTGGGTGATATAAATACCAAACCCCATAAAAATCCCACCATCCTATGCATGATTCTCACGTTTTTTGTTTTTGAGGAAGATGAACAAATGAAGATAAATAAGGTACTCATGTCTTTACAAGAGCTTGGTTTAACCAGACTCAATCCTTCTGTATTTAGTGGATAGACTCAGATAGCTGTCTTTGCTTTCTCTAATCTATCTTGTTTTCTTTTTCTCCTGGCTGTTTGGTTGCAAGAGGTGCTTCCCGCCTTTCTTTTGGCTTCATGTCTATACTGTTTGTTCGCGCTAAATCTGAACAGATAAGAGTTTAGGCTAACTTACAAGTGTGCTGATGGTTTGAGGATTGAAATGACCTTCTTCTGTAATGTCCGAAGGTTCGAACAGGGGTCGGATCCGAGCTGAGGAGGGAATACCGGTGTGGTACCTACCGAAGGCACTCCGATGCCAAAGTTAATAACTAAGAGCAATTCTATTGACAGTGGAAGCACTAGTCAAGTTAGAAAAACTTACCACTTGGCTGGGCCAATGGGCTCTATTTATAGAGAGTATTTGTGATGCTCTTAACACTTAGTTTCGATGTGGGACTCGTGGGAGTGTTTTCGGAGGTCGACACGTGATTCTGACAGGCTCTGGCATGAATTCTGAGGTAATCTGTCAGAATCGGATTGATGTGATGGTTGGTCGCTTAGTAGACAATACCGAAGGTTGGCAGAGGTAGTGATGCTGCGTTATCGACCCCCTAAATCGGTACTGAGTGCCGAGAGAACATTTGGTACGGCCTAGTTGAGCTGATCTCTGGCTTGAGGACGTTCCACGTGTCACAACGTGAGTGGGTGGTCAGATATGGTACAAACACTATTTGTTCGCTTTTATCTTATGGATAATCTCTTTGCCCATTAAAAAAGACGACTCAGATCGCTTACTTTCAGACATCTAAACAATAATTTCAGATACGTTGCTTTCAATAGTTGTTCATATTGTGCAATATGCATGCATTTTTCTCAATAGATTTTCAGCTCATTTATTTCCTTTGATTTATTTGTCTTTCTTTAGTCAATTTGTGGAATTAATTTGAGTGACAAGTGTTCTATACTAGTTTCATGTCATAGTTGGACCATTTTGACTTGTTTTTAGCTGTCCAGTTTCTTATTTGAATTGATTTAGTTAACTTGTCTAATGTAATATTTATAAATTCAATAAATTCAAGATTTTTCCTTCTTGTGGCTTGTTTCCTATGTCAATTCTCAGTTCCAGACCAAGTTCTCTATCCAAAACTTAATAGATGTATGGTTCTAGTTTAATGATAGTTATGTTTAAAGTTTGGGACTGCTATGGTTTTAATTCTAGAACAGGATGATTTGAAGATAGCCATACATGACAGATAGTAATGATAACTTGAGCTAAGATTTGTGTAACTTCAACTTTTTGCTTCTTTAAAGGCTTGACATCCTTTAACTAATGGATGAAAGATGGCTAACCCGAATCTAATCCACACTTCGGTAAAATCTACTTTGGAGAATACAAGCAAGTCCTACATGAATTAAAATCATAAGTAAAATCTTGTAATTACAATCATTAAAATCATAAGAAAAATCATGTAATTACAAATCAGGTTGAAATCCATTACATTAAAATCTTGTAATTATAATATATTAAAATCTCAATTGAATACACTCCATTTTATAACTAAAAAAGGAGTGTAAGTAGATAAAATTGGAGTGAGAAATCATTACCCTAAAAAAAAGGAGAGGAGAGAGACGAGAGTGTATGTAATATTTTTTTAACAAAAATTAGGGCCGGGCAAAAGAGACGAGAGGAGAGAGAAAAGTGCCGGTAATATTTATTGGGGGTTTCACTAAAACACCAAAAATGGGGGCTGAAATTATAAAAAAACTCAACACCCAAAACACTTTATAAACACACTCAAAACTCATCATTACACTCACTCAAAACCCATTTATAAACACAACCAAAAAATATACAATTGTTGATTTTGGGTGTATTTCTATATTTAAATAGTATTTAATTTTTTTTATATAAATACATGCTTAAGATTGAATTTATTTATAAATTTGTAATATTTATTTAACATAAATTTGGGCCGGGCATGAGCCCAGCCTGCCACAGGCTGGAACCGCATCATCAATCACACAAAGGTTGCAATACAACAATTTTGAAGGTTGACTTCTCATGCGGCACGAAGTTTTCCAACAATTTATAAACTGAGCAAATCGCAGTATAATATATGCAGTTCACATGATGGGGGGCGTTGGTATATAGATAGGGTTCGCTTGGTGGTGAATTCTGTACACAAATCTTTTTCAACATGTTCACCCGAATGAAGGCAAAGAAGAGATGCTCAAGTGTTGCGCAATCATGGAACACTTTAATTACATGTAACAGTAATTCAGACATGTTTCTGTTTCTCCATTGCTTACATTATAAGGTAACAAATAAAGTTTGATTTAATCTTGGATCCAAAACCGCATATTAATACTTAGTTAATTGTGTTTTGGGTAAGCGATATATGAATTTGAATTTAATTGATTCAATTAATTACTATTTTCTTTAGCTTTAGTTAGAATCGGTCATTGAAAAAGTTCCATTCTTATTTCTTAATGAGTTCGAAATTTCCCAGAAGCTGATGATACAACAATTTCTTCTTATAAAAATTACACGCAAACAAATTAAACTAATATGGGTTTCCCATTTCACCGGTAAATAATTAACATGGCGTATAAGCTATAACCTTTGTGACCTCAACTCTGTTCAGGGTTTAATCAAACACATACATATATATAGGGGTGACATTTTAGACCGAAAAATTGTAAAAACCAACCGACAATTTACCAAAATAGCGGAAAACCGAACTGCATTTGCGGTATGAAGAACTGAATCGCATTTGCAATTGCGGTTGCGGTATTTGATTTTCAAAACTTGTGGTTACCGCAAACCGCGACTATATTTTTAAATTAAAAATAAAAAAATTGCATTTTGTAGATAGCATTGGTGCTCAAACAACACAACGGGGTCCTTCAAATCCACTCACCACCACTAACACTTGAGTTTGTAACTTTAGTTTATAACATTGGTGCATTGCATTTTCCTTTTAGTTTGTAACTTTAATTAACTTTGAATTGGATTTTTCTTTTGGGTTGTAACTTTAATTCATTTTGCATTGCATTTTCCTTTTGGTTTGTAACTTTAAAGGATTTGGAATTGGAATGCTTGAGAAGTTTAACTTTAATTGGAATGCTTGGAATTGTAACTTTAATTTTCTTTAGGTTGTGAATGCTTGAGAAGTTGAAGAGGTTGTGAATTTATATATGCTTGAGAAGTTGAGGTTGTGAATTTTATTTATTTAGGTTGTGAATTTATATTTTTGGGTTAAAGTATGCTTGAACTCAAAATTCTTCAAAAGAAGCATCAAAATTATGCCTAAAATGTGGAAGATTAGATTTTTATAACACAACACGGTTTTAAACCGCTAATTCATGGTAACCGACCGCGATCATCATACAACAAATTAGGGGTGACATTTTAAACCGAAAAATCGAAAAACCGCAAAAACCAACCGACAATTTACCGTAATGAAACCGTAATCGCGGTAAACCGAACCGCATTTGCGGTTGCGGTTGCGGTATTTGATTTTTAAAACTTGCGGTTACCGCAAATCGCAAAGTATAGCTGCACGGATGATGAAGTTGAATTCTACAAGGAAATAGAACATATGACAACTCGTAAGTAATTAGTTTATTTATGCTAATGTTATTTATGCTTCTTCTTATAATAAAATGTACTAAACTATGTTGTTTTATTTGTAGATAACATTGGTGCTCAAACAACACAACGGGGTTCTTCAAATCCACTTACCACTAACACTTGAGTTTGTAACTTTAGTTTGTAACAGTGGTGCATTGCATTTTCCTTTCAGTTTGTAACTTTAATTAACTTTGAATTGAATTTTTCTTTTTTGTTGTAACTTTAATTCATTTTGCTTTGTATTTTCCTTTTGGTTTATAACTTTAAAGGATTTGGAATTGGAATGCTTGAGAAGTTTAACTTTAATTGGAATGCTTGGAATTGTAACTTAAATTTTCTTAGGTTGTGAATGCTGGAGAAGTTGAGGAGATTGTGAATTTATATATGTTTGAGAAATTGAGGTTGTGTATTTATTTATTTAGGTTGTGAATTTATATTTTTGTGAATGCTTGAGAACTTGCGGTTTTAAATCGCTAATTCGCGGTAACCGACCGCATTTTGCGGTCACCAAACCGCAAATAGTTGGTCGGTTTGCGGTTTGAGTAAAAATTCGCGGTTACCGAACCGCAACCACTCATACCGTAAATAGTCGGTTGGTTTGCGGTTTGGGCAAAAATTCGCAGTTACCGAACCTCAATCACCCCTACATATATATAATCTCTGCTGCCTGCAAAAAGACTCAAACCAATCAGCAAAAATGGTTGTGTTCCTTTTCAAACTCATCTTCTTTGCATTGAGCTTCGTATCGAGCTTGGTTTTGGGCTTGATCTTCTCTGCTACTGCCCGTGTTCTAGTATTATTAATCCATGGATTCAGAGCACCAGGCCTAGCCATCCATGGCACATTACAACAAGTCACAGAGGTCACCAGGTCATGTTCTGAGTACTTTGTGGGCCTTGTATTGGAAGCAATAAGTGCTCTAGTCTCAGCTTTCTTTGATTATCTAAAACAAAGTGTCACAGGGTCTGCTGGAGTTACCACTTCTGCAATTGGAGACCTCATGGAGAAAACAAAGACTTCGCTTGAATTGCTTGACGGGTTGCTCACTGATTTCCCAGAGGTTTCTGAGATGATTTTTACCATGGTGGCTGATTTGTGGAACAATTGCAGGGATGCTTTTGGATATGTTGCGGAGAATGCTTGATTATTTTTGTACATACCTCTTCAATTGGTTGTAAAAATGTGTAAGAACAAATGTGTATAACATTTGAGATCATCATACCAACTAATACTGTCTTAGATTACTAGAAAAGGTATAGGAAGAACCAACTTTGCAGGTAATTCGTTGTATTTTACGCTATGTGTGGGGGTTAACTTGAACCCCCATGTTACATTGGAGGAGTGCTACAGTCAATCATTCACCCGCTTAAGTGATTTCTAACCATAAATGCATGTGGATTCTACAACAGGGTCTACATAAATTAACATCTAGAAATAGTAGCACTAGATTCACGGTCGTAGTTGATTGCTTATATGTGCGCTGGGCCTCCACTTCTCCATCAACGTTTTTGGCCTCATTCACCTGCTTGCTAACATCTTTGTTTAGCTCCAGCGTTGGCATGCTCCCACCTTCCTTCTGGTTTTGGTTTTGGAAGTCCTCTACCAGCTCTAGCTCAGTGGTCAGAGCAATCCTTTTTTTCG